CCCCCTCTCCCGCCCCGCCCGGCCCCTCCCGCCGTACCGGAGCGCAGCGGGGAAGCACCGGGCAGCAGCGGCCGCCGGAAGAAGGAGGAACGGACGCGGTGAGGGCGGCGAGGACGGCGGCGGCCGGGGCGGGCGGGGTGGGCGGGGAGCGTGAGGGGAGGGCGCGGGGGGGGGAAGAGCCTCGTTTTGGCACTGCGCGTGCGCGCGGCGGGGCGCGAGCGGCGCTGCGGCTTTCCCGCCTTTTTCTGTGAGGGGAGTGGGGGTTTCTGCTGCTCTTTGCTGCTCTTTGTTCTTTGAGAGGAGATTTCTGCCGCTCTTTGTTCTTTTGGAGGAGATTTCTGCTGCTCTTTGTTCTTTGAGAGGAGATTTCTGCTGCTCTTTGAGAGGAGGTTTCTGCTGCTCTTTGTTCTTTTGGAGGAGGTTTCTGCTGCTCTTTGAGAGGAGGTTTCTGCTGCTCTTTGAGAGGAGATTTCTGCTGCTCTTTGCTCTTTTGGAGGAGGTTTCTGCTGCTCTTTGTTCTTTGAGAGGAGGTTTCTGCTGCTCTTTGCTCTTTGAGCGGGGGTTTCTGCTGGTTTTTGGCTGTGCAGGAGCCGTCAGGGGCGGAGGGGCTCCGCTGTATTTCCGTGAGCGATGGACGGGTTTTCTCCCTTTTTCCGTGAACAGTGGAGGGGGTTTATTCCTTTTTTCCGTGAGCGATGGACGGGTTTTCTCCCTTTTTCCATGAGGGTTGGAGGAGTTTCCTCCCTATTTTCCCGAGGGGAGGGGGAGTTTCTCGCCTTTTTTCCGTGAGGGATGGAGAAGTTCCTTCCTTTTTCCATGAGGGGATGGGAAGTTTCTTCCCTTCTTCCATGAGGGATGGAGGAGTTTCCTTCCTTTTCCATGAGGGGATGGGAAGTTTCTTCTCTTTTTCTATATGGGATGGAGGAGTTTCCTCCCTTTTTCCATGAGGGGATGGGAAGTTTCTTCCCTTTTTCCGTGAGCAGAGGGGGGAAGAGTTTTCCTCCCTTTTTCAGTGAGGGGACAGGGAGTTTATTATTCCCTTTTTCCACGAGGGATGGAGGAGTTTCCTTCCTTTTCCATGAGGGGATGGGAAGTTTCTTCTCTTTTTCCATGTGGGATGGAGGAGTTTCCTTCCTTTTCCATGAGGGGATGGGAAGTTTCTTCCCTTTTTCCATGTGGGATGGAGAAGTTCCTTCCTTTTCCATGAGGGGATGGGAAGTTTCTTCTCTTTTTCCATATGGGATGGAGAAGTTCCTTCATTTTCCATGAGGGGATGGGAAGTTTCTTCCCTTTTTCCTCGAGGGATGGAGGAGTTTCCTTCCTTTTCCATGAGGGGACGGGAAGTTTCTTAGGGGGAAGAGTTTTCCTCCCTTGTTCCTTTGGCTCAGGGCTGGCTCTCCCAAATTTTGCCATGAGGGGAGAGGATTTTCCCCAGCCGAGGGAGGTTTGGGGCGTGCTGTGGGGTTTGGGTCCATTTTGAGGATCTGCCGACATCCCCAACTAGGCTGTTGTCGCGACAGACCCACGGGAACCAACGTTGCAATAATAAAAACCATTTATTTCCCAATAGATTGCCCCCAAAAGCCTCCCGCAGGCTGAGGGAGGGGGGGGGAAACACCCCAAAAACTGAGGCGGGCACCCCAAAACCCGTAGGAGGGGCGAGGGCGCCTTTAAACCTGAGGGGGTCTCCCCGCGGGGAAACTGAGGCACAGGCGATTCAAGGCACTTGCGAAGGCGTTTGAGGGAGGGGCAGCTCCCGTGGGACCCCCAGACCCCCCCGGGGGGACCACGGCGTCGGGACCCCTCAATAATTTAAGGCTGGGGTCCCCCTGTGCGGGGGGAGGTCTCCGGGGGTTTCTTGGGTTCTTCAGACACCGCCCGGCGATGCTGGAGGGGGAACAAAGCGGGGGGTGAGTACATCCCACCCCCGGGGACCCCCAAACCTTCTGGGGAGCCCCCACGGGGCAGCACCCCCTTCCCAGTGCTCCCAGTACGCACCAGTGCCGGCGGCGCCGTGGCCCTGCCGCGTGGGGAGGGTGATGTAGGCGTCGTAGCCCAGCAGGATCCCGGCCAGGATCCCAAACACCTGGAGGAGAGACCCCCAAATTACCCCTGCACCCCCAAAACCACCCCTGCACCCCCAAAACCACCCCTCACCC